CGTCGGCGTTCGTTTTCTCTCCTGCAGTAATCGACTAGCCTCCAGGAGAAACGTGTCAGATTTAACGCTGCGTGACCTTGAATTGGCAAACATAGCTTGCCAACCGAAAAACTTTTTCTCAGTCACCCTGTATTGCCTAGGGCGCTGACCTGAAGCATGTCACTAGCGCGCGTCTCCTTACAGCCCGCCTATAGTACCTACATGTTAAATAGCTGATTTTTAAATGACACCCCGGACGGACGATTCTGCTTAGGTTCCCCTCCATGGCTGTTCAGCACTAACAATGCAGGCCAATCCAGAAGCACAGCCTCCAACCAGAAACTCTCGTCTGATCTGCACAAAAGCTTCGACTGCGCCTAAAGACATCCGAAACAATTTCCGAAAGGGGGAAATATTTGCGACGAAGCATTACCGTAGACAACACACATCAAAATCCAGCATGCGACGGTGTACTCCTACGGTGCATACGCATTTATATATATAGATATATACCGGTATACAGGGTATACTTTTCCTCGATAATGCGCTTTCTTGCAGGGACTAACGCTTGTCTCAATCAAGCTTCCGCTACCGGTATAAGTTTAGCTGGTGGACGGATGGATGTTACTTTTCGTTCACGAGCTGTTTTTGTTATTTTCTCCTTGCGTTACAAATAATAAGCGATGTTCTTTCTGGTAGAATCACCTCTCTCGTCAAAGAACATCTGCTTCTATCACACTACAGACTTGATACTCTTGCACGGTGCCAATTGATGCACTTCTAGCCATTGATTTCGCCACCAAGTACCTTCCGCGCTTTTGGCTTTCGACCTCTACTATAATGCTGACGCTAAGCTGACGATGGTTCATTCTATTTCAATTGCCCTGAACAAAAAGATCGCCCTTACCTGTTTCGAGCGTTCGATAATCATACGTGGCGCTGTATGCAGGTAAGGTACCGATACAGCCACTGACAATAAACAGATGGAGACCGTTTTGCACTAATAATATCCGATATAAGTGACTGACAGCTAGGGAAAACGAGACATCAAACAGAATGTACTTGATGTTAGTCACAACACATCACGAACAGTATCCGCAAACGGCGTCTATGTGTATTAGCCACCGTTGACTTGCTATATTTCTCTAGGCTGTTGTTTGCTAGCCACAGAATCTCATACTTATACATGAACGCACGTTGTTTCAACCGTAGAATTCACGACAGCATGAACTACACGCCGGGGCGGCCACTCATTGACTACTGCCGAACAGCCGACTGTTTCGGCTATTTCTTCGGGCACAGCGGCGATCTGACAGCGCGGTCGATGGCGCACTCTAGCTAGCGAATGGCTGTCACGTGTGCCTGCTATGGCTGCATCCGACCAACTGGGACTCGCAGCGACTCCTAGCGGGTCAGCAGATAACCTGCCGGTGATGAGCACGTCTGTTCGAAGGACCGCTCCCGCTTCCAGCCGTCGAGCGCTAAAAGGCGCGGAGGCTGGTTATAGGGAGTTGAATTGTTGTTTTATCTCTTATTCTTCTGTCTTTTAGGTGTCTAAAAGTATTTAGTTACGACAACTTGACCAAACTTGATGTGATCGAAGAACACACGGTAATGCAGATTGTGGACAGGGTTAGATTTTAAGGCATGCCAATAAAACTGTAAAAAAATGTACAGCCGAGCTCCGAAACTGTCACTGAAAACCGTCAGATATAATATTAAATTTAAGGTGTTATTACCTATTGAATCCAATGTTATTATGGTTACAATCCCTATTTGTGATATATTCGAAATTAACCGTCAATAAGGCCGTAGGTATTCTTACCCATTATAAATGTGTTGACGCAAAGAAATCTTGACGTGTACACATCAAGCGCCTACTCGTTCTGACAATTCATTTTCCGCTTTTCGTCACTACCTTGATAATAATAATAATAATGAAACTTTAATAAACAGAACGCCTGAGAACAAAGATACATCTTGCATTGAGCTAGAGAGAGCGGTAAATCGGTAAATGTGTATCGTACATTCGATATAACTGTAAAGAACTAGCTATATATACGCTTGGAACACTTGAGGAACTTTTTTAAGGCTGTCCTTGTTCATGTTATTGCTTCGTTAGCCTAAGAACCCTGTTTTCACGGATGCTGTGTTTTTCTTCATGGAAATGGAAACAAATAAGCAAACCGAATGCTGTTTAAAAACATGCGCTACTTACCCAACAAGTTAGTACTGTAAACCTATTTAAAAAAAAAAAATAAAAAACAAAGAAGTTTATAATACTTTAACTAATTCAAGCTTTGATTAAGGTCCTGTGAGTGTTTGGTGTTTTCAACCAAAATACGCTAGTTGCTTTTAGAGACTTTCTGTGTTTTGTTTTTAAAATAAAAAAAATATTCTAAAATTTTATCATATTTAAAATTAGTTTCACCCGCGAAATATTGTAGTGAGATATGACAAATAGCACTAAAAATTGTGGAGGTCAGGGATTGAGAAATCTTTTTAAATGGTCCTCGTCCATTAGTTTGATTAGCATTATGATCGAATATCTCGAGTTTATTAATACATGTCACATATACTGCGACCTTTTATGATATGCTTTCAGTTAATTGCAGGTGATAGTTCAAAGCGCAATGTAGTTACGGATGCGATGGTTGTCCGAAATAGGTATTGGTACCGCCATTTTCAGCAGCTTCTGCGAATTATTGTTCTAATTACTATTACTGCCGCGCTAGAAATGGTTGCTTATAACGAAGCCAACAATGGGGCTCATTTATCGTATAGCTATATCTGTTGCGCAAAAATCAAATTTCGTAAATGAATTCATCTGAAAATTAACAAACTAATTTAAAACATTCATATCGAGAGCACGTTCGGGTTCAAAAGGCCGCTTAAGGTGGCTTCGGAAATTTGCAAAGATAAATTTCCTCTTAAAGGGCTCATCACGCTCCAATCATCCTTCAGGAGAAAAACGGTTAGAGCATTAGCCGAGATAGATTATTACTACATAACAATCATAAAACCTATTTACTAAATGGGATTTACTTGAAAATTTGTAATAGTAAAATCTGTCGCTCTTTTTACCGCTTAACATGACCATCCGTCTTGTAGAATTATGCCTATAACCCAAGCCAAAATAACGCACCTAAAACATTCCGAAATGAAATGCACAGATTGCTCGTGTTCATATAGAAATTCCGCACAGGGTTTTGAACGCGTAAACCTTGTCAAGGGCCAGCAGAAATTAAAGGATTAGGAACGATCATCAGCCTGGGGGGAGTCCCCATTACAGTTCTGTTTTAGTCTCTCCATTTTACCAACGGCATTAGAATAAATAACTTGGTATCTGCAAATTATGTAGCATTTATGTGTTGTTAGGAAGGCAAGAGAAATTACGAGTACGCAAGCGAATAATTACAGGTGAGGCCTAAGTAATGAGCATCTGTTTTTTGCTAATATGGATTTTATTGCAAAAACATTCGATTTTTATCCTATCCCATCCCCGTGTTAATTGATTTAGACTTACTTAATTAGTGAGAGATAACATATTTCTCACTATCAAAACTGAAAAAAATTACACAAGTACCTAAATTGGATAAGCTATACAACAGCGAACAAAGATCACACGTCTTGGACATCATGATGAGGCTTTAGGTATCCTATGAAGGTTGCACCTGTAATATACTTCAGGAGCCTGGTCCATACCAAATTGGCAAAATCCATTTATTGGTTTCAAGCCCATGCTTGATTCATGTGATTCTTAGCCAGCTTGCTTATATAGGAGGCAAGTTTATAAATGAATGGAACCTCTGCCCTTTGCCTAAGACTAGATGCTATCTATATGACAAAACCGTTGCTAGTAAATAGGTTACGTTAGGGAATCGCAATGCCTTTGTCACAACTAATATAATCGAACTCACTAAGTTAAAATAATTGTTCCCATTATCACCGTCCATATTACTACTACTATCATTTGATACGTACCGTTGAGTGCCAAATCTCTGAAGAATAGCCCAGTAACTACACTATACAAGTCGTCATCGTGTACGCTTATTTCTAGTCTTAGCAGTAAAGTGTAGCTGGAGATACACAATATAACAACAACACGGATAACAAGACAGATTGACAACGTTTAAAGTCTCACCTAAACTTACCTTTTAATTTTCCTTGAAAGTTTCCGTGCTCATATTCGAAATTAGAACATCTTGTATCATACATCGACTGCCGTTTGCATTTCATTAGAAAAGATTTGCAGACCATTTGGCGAAATCAGCAAGTTCAATTGCACTTCGAAGATTTCTAAATGCGTTTAGTAGTCTTCAAAGTGATCTTCTTCTCATTTGTTAATTTCTTTCTATGGTTTAAAAATGGCTTATTCTATGGAGAGCAATAATATAACTATAATGATAACAATGTTATTAGTGATAATAAAGTGGTGCGATTTTAATAGTTAATAAAGTACTTTCATGTCACAAAATATCACAAACACACACGCTTTTCATTTCGTATAGGAGTTCTGGACAAGATAAACAGGACCACAGATGTAGGTGCCTTGTTTTAGCTTTCTACAACTGATTATTATAAATTGTATATTATATACAACTTACAGATGCTGTTGTAGATTCCCTTTGATTACAGCATATAATCGTGGGATTATTTCGGTTATCAGGAACAAACGCGCCTGCTTTTTAAGTCTCCAGCTGTCCTTCTCTATTGTCAATTGTATATGAGCGGGTAGCTGTGTGCGCAGACACTATAGAAGACAACTGGCCATATCAACCATTTCCCGCCTTCGGCTGATAAGCAGAGTTGGACTGATATTACCACGATAGTTGGTGAGCGTGCAAGTTCTTAGAACTAGCTCATGCATTATGTCGTCTGTATGAACCATGTATATTTCATCCTTAACTGTACTCGATTGTATCAACGTTAAATTTTTTATGTTACAATTTTGGAAGTATGTCATGTATTATAAAATGGAATTTGTTGTTGCAGCATGTCATCGCAGGTCGAGCCGTGGTCCGTCGTTATTGGATCGTTAGAAATGGTTGTTCTGTCCGTTGCTGGCTTGCTGCTAAGGGAGGGTTAGAAAAGGAGTTGTTGGATTCGCAACTTGCTCCTGTCTGCAGTCTTGTTCGATTTAGCGAAGTCCACAAGTCCACCCCCACAGAGTCCCGTTAGATGTCAGATTTTAAGCTGGCAAATATTTTGCCATAAGTACGCCAGTAATTAGTTTGTCGGCCTTCTCTACCAGCTGGATTCGGCAAACGTTCCCGCACGTCTCAGGTAAAACCAAAGATTTCCAGTGCTTCTGTAGCCACGTAGTTGAAATCCGTATGTTACGGGAAAGAGTGAAAGGCGATTATGAAAGCGGCTAACGTATGCTTGTTTGTTTGATGCAAAGTTTGTTTTTTCAGTCGGTTTAAACAGCAGTGCGTTTAAGTACAATTTCTACGGAGGATAGCTTTACGGGGTCTGAGTATGTAACATGTCCTCCCGATAGAAATGATGTCTAACAGAACATGATTCATCTGGATATCCGCTAAGATCTGCAAGTGTAATAAGACGAATTAGGTAAAAAAAAAAAAGAAGGCTTGGGCCGTTCGGTACTTGCTGTTAGTTTTTTTTTTGTTTGTGCTTCGCAAGAACTTGAGGTGCTCTTCTTAGCTTATGAAACAAAATTATTTTCACAGCAGGACTCCTGAGAATCCACATGTTATCTCAATGCACTTAAATACCCGTCTTTATTTGCAATTTACAATTAAATGCATCATCGGCTACAAGTGAATATCATCGTTTCGTACTCAATCAGGACGTTCAGCCGTGCTAGAAAGGTGCAACAAGACTTGCGAATATGATTTTGTTACTAATTGGAGTAATGGCCTGACGTTGATTTTTGGCTATCGAACATAGTGTGTGAGGCTGCGACCTTCATAATATACAATTGGGTGCTTGATTTTTGTTGCGTAAAAACGGACAGAGATACTACAGATGCGCGTTAAAAGGTGTTGCAGAGAGCCTACCTAAAAATGATGCTTGGTCCTTGCTAATAGCTGCCGCATCGACATGAACCAGTACTACCGCAACATGTGTAAAACCTATGCAAATTATGCTCATGAACGTTCATATAAAATACCGGCTATAATTTAGCACAAGTGCTGGTAGCCCGCGTTGTTTCCGTGCGCTTTGGCTAATTTTTGCATACGGCTTCAAACATTCTTCTAGGCCAGTTCATCTTTGAAATGTACTTTATATTCCAAGACCGTACTCATGATAGATTCATCGATTGCGTTCTTTTTTTAGCTAATGTAAAAGAGGTTTGTTATTTGTCAAGTACGTTTGGGCAAAAAAATCACAAAATGTTGTACTTGGAAAGAAACGTTGTCGAACGCTATCTACGATTTCTTCAATTGTACGAATTAAATAATATCATTCAATATGTAAGGCCTTAACGGTAGCAATATTAAGGTTAAAGAAGTAATTTTTAAAATGTCAATAGCCACGAGTTCAAACATGGAAGTTTACCTTTTTCCATAATTTTCCTAATGTCATTCTTTTTTGTACGCAGATGGCGTCCCCTCGCACGCGGCATTGTTTGATGAAACTTCAGCCACAATTTGGAAATAATAAATGCTTTGAATGTGGAGCTCATAATCCCCAATGGGCTTCCGTTTCCTACGGAGTATGGATCTGCCTCGAATGCTCTGGACAGCACAGGTAAAAAAAATATCAGCATACGTAACGCTATCACTAGGGGGCTTTATGTATATATATATAGGTAGCATGCTTTTTTTTTTATTTATTTAAGCAAAACGTTCGAGCTTCAAAAATGTTGTTATAAAATAGCATTCTCGACAATTATTTAAAGATAAACATGCATCATTAGCACCAAAATGAGCTCGAATGAAATCTGTACTGAATTATCATTGTGCGTTGAATATCGAGAAGAGTCGAACTTAAGGTAAAAAGGGACGGGCCTACTACAATATTATTATAACTAAAAATATTCTTAATCAGTGTGTTATTATGTAATAATAGAAGACCTATTTGTTACTAATTCTCCTTTAGGGGTTTGGGAGTACATTTAAGTTTCGTGCGCTCAATCACAATGGACAAATGGAAAGATCAGGAGTTGGAGAAGATGCAGGTTGGTGGTAATTCCAGGGCAAAAGAGTTTTTGGAGGAACAAGATGATTGGAGCTGGGATATGGACCTGCGTGACAGGTAACCTAATTCATGGCTAAATATTTTCAATTGTTTGCCTAGTAACCAATGAATTGTCAAAGAAGGGAGTCGAATAGTTCGGATCGACATTGAGGAAATATTTTTGTATAACCAGTGGAAAAATGAAGATTTATTACTGTGGTTTGTCGTAATACTATGTAAACTGAAGGTTTTGTTTTTGTTTCCGTAGTAAGCCATTAAAGTCTGATAATGTTTCATCGAGCGATAACCTAAACAAGAAAAAACTCAAAATGAATGCACTGATGGGTAAGCATCGCCAAACGCCCGATTTTTGTTTAACAAAAGCTGACTGCTGGCCAGATTTGTCTTATGACTACGCTCGCCTATTCACAGGACAAATTTCAGAGAATTTAAATGTCTATAATGTATTTTGTTAAGGCTTCGAAGTGAATGACTCTCGGTCTTGTTTTATGTTTTGTTGGTCAACGAACCTGGACAAGCGAAGGACGTGCACCTTGTTTCGTGTTACAACGAAATCGAATACACATAAGTGGTGCCAATGCTGCAGAAGACTTGTGTGGACCGGGATTATAAGCTAATGCCCATTGTACAAGTGGTGCCTAGGGCTTCATAATGAGAGAGGCTTAAAAATAGCTCTTTTTTAAGCTTTCGGTCAAAAAGTGCGAAACAGTGCGAAACAAACATGCGAACAGGTAATGCAAGAAGATCGTCAAATCATTCTCAAAGACCTCAAAAAACAATAAAGCAGCTTACACACGAGATGTTGGATTACTTCGAATTTACTTGAGAGCGAGGAAGTTAAGAGCAAGAGTCGTCCCAAAGGAGCCGCATTTCGAGTATAAACAAATTGTCGTCAACCCTCTCAGAACTTAACAGCCGGGCTTATCCCGAAGTGTAACTGCAAATGACCAAACGTGGGGTATAAATAGGATGATAAAACAAGCACAGTCGTCTGAATGCTTCCTCAAAGACAAATCCAGGCGAGATAGGAGCAAGGTCCAAGGCAAAAAATACACTTTTTCTCACCGTTTTTTTTCATCATTAGGAAGTTGTGCATTATAAATTCACTCTGAGTCGCTCGATTGAGGCTTAAGTGACCAGCCAAATTCCAGATACTTTTTCTGGCCCAGTTTCGCCCAAGATTTCAGTTTTCAGTTGGACCAACTAACCGAAAGCCAGATGTAATATTAAAATTACTATCAATTATTACTACTATTATTAAATAAGTGTTATGAGATTAAGTGTTAAAATGTGTTAATAACCTATTTTTCCTCAATCTAGATACAATACGAAAGCGGCCGCCCTGCTCCGTGACAAGATCGCAACAGAAGCTCGCGGGGAGGAGTGGAGTTTGGAAACGTCGCCTGCAAGGAACTACCAGAGTTATGCCATTCTTCGTAAGCCACAGTCAAGCGGAAAGGCTAGCAAAGCACCTTTCGGAAGCGGAATAAGATCTGGTGGACAAGCTAGTGGCGACTGGATTTCAAATGGAGGAGGTGAGGCTGGTGAAAGATCGAGGAAGGCCGGATAATGTCATAGTAATGATAAATGCTGCAACTGCGGCATCCTCAACAGGCCAACTCCCTATTAGGTGTGTGGGCGGATCTAATAACAGGAACATATGCCTAAAATACACGGAGTGGCTGGTAATATTTACCGTTTACCAAGACCAAGCTGAATGAACAGTAATTATTTAATTGGGTGATTTGATTTTTCGAGTAATTTTAGACGCCTCAAACGACTATGAGACAAACTTCATAACGCCTCATCCGTGCTGCGTACCTCGCCTCTCGATACGTTATTGTAGGTTCCTTTGTGACCATCCTATCAATGAATGGGTATTATCGTGCCCATAAATGCTACGGTTATCTTTTTTCTGGGTCTTTACCAGCACTGTGCAACATACTTGCTTGAAAAATAGGCTTATCAATCCCCCAAGGATACCCTAAAGGTCTATGGTATTAAGTTGTAAATTGTTTAGCAAAAATCTTATCGAACCGCTGGCTCGAACTGAAGTCCCTATATAGAACTAAGCTTTATATATATATAAAGCTATGTAGCGCGGCATAATTTGCATAATTAGAATGCATTTTTTTATTATTCGTATTACCCAATATGACGGATGCGATGGCTAAGCTAGAATTTCTTGAACCCTATAATGTTCTTATCGTGATCAAACACACGTTATCTTCTATCACTTGTTATTAAACCATAAAAGTATATCTGTTTGGTCTGCGATGCATGTTTTAACTCCAGCGTATCAGTCAATATCATCCGACGAAGTTTCTCGGCAAAAGGATTCGTTCTTTTCATGGGTACAAGCGGAAAACGCGTCTCGACCTGGCAATTTACCACCTTCGCAGGGGGGACGTTATTCTGGCTTTGGTAACCAGGTATACTCCCCTCCAAGCGTTAGCTCTGCGCAAACGCCGGCCGAACAAGCTACCGAGATGCTTGGCTCGGTCTGGTCTTCATTCAGCTCGCTTGCCATTAAGGTCGGAGGAGCTGCTGCCAATAAGGTATAACTTGTTATTTATCTAGTACAAGGTATCACTCCAGGTAAATGAGTGAATGAGTTTGTGCATTATTTACGCAAAAATGTTGTTAATCGTAATACATTGAACGTTCAGTGATGTACCAATTCATAATATGTTTTCAAAACAGAAGAGAGTC